GTGTGTGTGTGTGTGTGTGTGTGTGTGTGTGTGTGTGTGTGTGTGTTTGTGTGTGTGTGTGTGTGTGTGCGTGTGCGTCTGTGTGTGTGTGCATGTGCGTGTGCGTCTGTGTCTGTGACACCTTTGACCTCTGACCTTTGCTCACTGAAGGTCACGGCAGGCGAGATCGGGAAGATCTGTGCGGACGTTGTGTTCACGTGCTTCGTGTGTCCGGCGATCGTGAACCCAGACGCGTACGGTATCACGTCCGACGCCCCGATCAGCTACATCGCGCGCTTCAACCTGATGCAAGTTGGACAGATCCTGCAAGTGCTCGCCATGTCGAAGTGGGATCCCATCGATTCGAAACTGATGGACCTCTACGGGAGGTTTGAAAAGGTGCCGCAGCGCTGGTCGCGCGTTTAGAGCGTCGCGTGTGTTCGATGTGTTGCCTTAGATTGCCTTAGATTGCCTTAGATTGCCTTAGATTGCCTTAGATTGCCTTAGATTGCAAGATTAAACTTAAGATTAAGATTAAAAAGATTAAGATTAAGATTGGAATTGCAAGATTAAGAAGATGGTTTTGCTTGCTTAGATTGTAGTTGCCTTAGATTGGTAGCGGCAATTTCCTGATTATCACGTTACCAGTTGTAGTCACTCTTATTATTATGGTTGGTTTCGGTGATTGGTTAACCATATAATAATCAAAAGTAAGAGAGTGTAAACAGTGTTAGCTAATTTTGTGTTTATTGGGTCTGGTGTTTCATGGGAAACTGCATCATTAATTACGGAAACATCTTGGTATCTTTCGGGCAATAATAAGAATTTTGCAGAATTGAGGAATATTTGTTGTCGTAATGTAATGTTTTTTGGTTTGTGTAGGATTGCATATCTTCGCTGATTGAGGTCATCATGGAGGGAGAGGTGTCTGAACTACCCGTAGAGCCGTCGGCATTGTCATTACAGAGTTTAAACAGAACATCTGTGATCATCACGGAAAATGATTTAAATTCCACGGTAAGTTACTGTCGGGGGGAAAACGACCAGGTTCTGTAGGGAGCAGTAGTTCCATCTCTAGTCAGTATAAACCAGGGTTCGTAGTAAGTCTTCCAAAGTCTTATAAGTACTTATTTTGCCAAAAATAAAATAAGGGCCCTTATTAGTACTTATTTTTGGTGAAATCTTAGAAAAGTACTTAATAGTCCTTATTTTTTCTCGACTTAGAGTAAGAATTGTTGTATATATAATACGGAATAA